CAAAAAAACAAACAACAACACACAAGCACTGGCATTAGCATTAATTAATTCTGCGATTTGCTTTCCACGTCCATATACAAAAAGAGTAGCATATGGGACGTTTTCCACTAGAAATTAATTAACTCGTGGAATATGGTTTTCTGAACTGCCAGCAGAACGGTTGCTGCAGCGGAGATGGAGGGAGAGACAAAATGATAAGCGCAGCAGGAGCAAAACTGCTAGAAGATAAAAACATGCCTTTGAATATGCAGATTGCACCAGCTAAGGGAAATTCAGCACTATAAAATGACACAGCCATTGCCTTATCTCTTGTGCTAAATCACGTCTCAGATACGTGCTGTTTGTCCTGGGCTCCACAATCAATAATTGCCCGAGAAGTTCACAAAAACTGGAAGTGAAGAGCACAAAGCTGTAGCGCTGCTGGGTGAGATGGACAAAACACCAGAAAGGAGCTCAGAGAAGAGGGGTTGGGATGGTCCTGACAGAAAGGGGAATGCAATTTGGGCATCGAGCTGCCTGTCATGGCATGGAAATACCAACAAGGTCATCACAACCAAAGGAAACCAAAAGCCATCCCGACATCCAGGGGGCTGTCCTGCTCTCAGCTGTCCCAAAGCTAAACCAGTATTGCTCCAATGAAGCCAATAAAACTGTATCCCCGGTAAGGCTCTGAGCATCTCTCCCAAACCGACCCAAAGATACTGCGTCTAGCAAAAGTCGGGGCACATCATAAACTCTGAGATGTCTGACGGTGGAACAGATGCACGATAACCCTCCAGCGGTCCTTTGTGAGATGTTCTGAGGTCCCTTTTGCGAGGGTCATCGCCCAGCTCCCCTTTGTCCCCCAAATTCGGGGCCAGCTGGGTGCTCTGGCCCGGGCACCCCCCTTCCCAGTTACCCACAGGGAGCGGGAAGGTGCCATGGGAACGGGGTACCCACACCCTCTCCCTCTCCTGCAGCAACCCAGGTTTAGCATCTCTTTGGGGTCACCTTGAAAATCCCACTTGTCCCTAGCACAGCCAATCGTTTGCATTTCTGTAACAAACATAACATTGAAGCATTTAGTTAAAGCAACAAATCGCTTAATAGGTTTGCTTTTTCTTAAAAAAAAAACCAAAAACCACACATTTTTAACATTTTCTGCCTCTCTCTTTGATTCAGCTGGTTTACATGGGAGTTTGCCCCCCCCCGCAAATTTGGCTTCCAGCGCAGCGCAGCGAAAGAGGGTGGTGACCTGTTGCATGGGTTTGGGGTTGACACAGAGATACTCCTTTTATCAGACAGGTTTTGCGTTGCCTGGGCAAAAACCCGAGAAACTTGCACCTCCAAAGTCTGCGGGCCGAAACGTGTATGGCTACGGAAGACTGCAAACCCAGCTACAGCCGCAGTCAGAAATCCCACCGACGACTGTGTGGAAAGAGAGGATTAAGGGTGATGATCTCACTCCCGCACACGGTCCCGCTGACGATAAAAGAAGAAGAAAGCAAAGTCTCGTCACGGTCTGGCTCCCCAGCGCAGGCGAACGGGGCTCTCTGCAGATACGCCGCTGACGCTCAACAGGAAAACCATGGTAGGACAACCCCATCGGCTGCTGCGATGGAAAAAAGTAATCACCCGACAGACCTCCTCTGGTGACTGTTTTTGTCGTCGGCTGCTGCAAAGAGAGGCAAACCGTGCTGGCTAACCGTCGCTGCGAAGTTTCATGTGATCGTATCTAAATCGTGTAATATTTTTTAGGGGTTTTGGGTTTGGTTTTTTTTTTTCTACTCGGGCAACTGAAGGATGAATTAAAAGCCGTACCCAGCCCGCAGCTGCAGGTACCAGCCTGAGAGGGAAGATGCAACGGCGCAGAACGCTTCCGACCAAGGCTCGGTTTCGAGTCAGGAGGTCAGATTTGGGGCCCCCTACCCCATTTTTGGCCAGTTTTCCCATTTCTCCCTGCATCCAGCTGCCGCCGTAACAACTCCAGCCACAAACAGCCTGGCTCTGCCCTCAATAACCGCACGGCATTTCAGCTGCTGCCATCCTCATTTTAATAAACACAAGGAAAAGTGAGAAACCCGCACTAAACAACTACATCTATGTTTAGATCTTTATTATTTCCCTCCCCCCCCGCCCTGGTATTATGCTGCCAGCAGAGAGATTTCTCAGGTCAGGTCAGCAGACAAAAGAAACAGAAATAGAAGCTGATTTTTCGTGGCAAGCTGCCACGATCCTCCAGCCGGAGACATCACGCTGTACAAAAGGCCTCGGTGAGGAGGATACGGGACACCTTCCTCTTTCACCCCTGCTTCGGCACAAACAGCTATAAATCTTCCAAACCTTGCGGAGAGACCGGCAATCGCACCGTTATCCCCAGCACCAGCTTGGGGTTCTTTGCTTTTCCCCTGGCACCGTGGGAGCTGTTTTTTTTGGCAGGGCAGGGAGGAGACCCTGGCACAGCCTGTCCCCCCCCCACCTTGCCCCGAGCATCACTGACCGGTCCCAAACTACCAGGTAACCCACAAAATAAGGTTTTTCAGTGCAAGCAGAAAAGAGTTCGCCCCGAAACAAATTGAAAATGGGGTAGTCTAAAGGCTGAGGGTGTAATTAAAGGCCTTGGGAAAGCCTTATTGAGGAAAACCAGCTGGTTTTCTGTTCAGTTTTTTAAGACTAAGATTCCCATCCTGAGCACGCTGATAACGGTAATTGCAGTGGAACCATTAATACTGCCGCAGTTACGCGTGTATTAATTTTCTTACATTACAAACCTCAACTCCGTTTACCCTGAGGCAGTAATTTGTTCCAGGATAAAACCCACCATGAGAACCCCTCGGTTTGCGAGTGAGCTGCTTTCCTGGAAAACTCTTCGCTGCCTATTGGAAAAACGACAGGAGAACATTGGGGGTTGGACTAGATGATCTCCAGAGGTCTCTTCCAACCCTGACCATTCTGTGATTCTGTGATTTACAACCAGAACATGCTCTAAGTGTGGCACGAGGGGCTCTTCCCCTGGTTAAACAGCTCCTTCACGGCCATTAGTGTCCTCGGATGAGATAACATCTTCCTTTTGGATTTTAACTTACAACTGCAAAAATAAACACTTTGAGTCACTTGATGAGCACATCCAGAGAATGTCTTTCGCGGCGTTTCGATCTGCGAATCCGCATTTCCAGGGTGAGGCAACACAAAGTGAATTTTTTGGCATCTCTTTGGTTGTGAAATAGCTTTCCAGCTCCCAAGACGCAGAGGGGCGTTATCGGCAGCCTGGGGAAGACTGAATTTCTCCTCCTGCCCTCTCTGGCCGCGGCAGCAGGAGCCTGAGCCCTCTTGCAAACCACACATGGAACAGCAAGAAATTCAGACCGGTGCAAAGCAGCATTAAATTCAGCTTCCAGCCTCAAGCGTCCAGGCTCCCCAGCCACAGGGGGACCCAAACCCAAACTATCTCTGCTTTCCAAAGCAGGGCTGAGATAGCTAGCTCCAATTCAGCCCCGGAGAAAGCAAGCCGAGCCCCAGTTCCTGCGCTGCCCCCCCAGCCCGCACGCGGTCCCACCGCCCTGCGCGGCCCCCGGGACAGTTTGGCGGCAGAGCCGATGATGCCGGGCTAGCGGGGAGCAGCCAGGGGTGCCGCGGGAGGGAGATGTTGGGTGTCAAACAGCCAGAGCACTCGGGGTACGGGTGAAGAGTGGCCGTCGCTGCACCCGCTCTCCGCACAGGGCTACTGCCTCACCGGCAGGACTCGTCGGGCTGGGCAAGCGGCAACAAGCCCCGGCAAGACTCGGCACGTCCCAGGCTCTGGCTGCAGGGCAGTTCTCACCTGGTTTATTTCCCCCCCATCTCCTATTCTCAGAGACAAGCCAGAAGCCATCTGCGTGCTAGCAGTGCTCAAGCCACCCTTGGACCATCACAGCATGCTCAAACACCGTCAGCACCGCTATCTATTCCTAAATTTCCTTTTGGGCAAAACCAAGACCTTCACTTTTAAGAGAGAACATGAACAGAATCACACAGAATCCCAGACTGGTGAGGGCTGGAAGGTGCCTCTGGAGCTCCCCCAGTGCCACCCCCCGCCAGAGCAGGGGCACCTCCAGCAGTGGCACAGGACGGCGTCCAGGCGGGTTTGGGATGGCTCCAGAGGGGAAGACTCCCCCACCTCTCTGGGCAGCCTGTGCCACTGCTCTGCCGCCCTCACAGCAGAGAAGGCCCTCCTCAGGTGGAGATGGAACTGCCTACGGTCACCTTTGTGCCCGTTCCCTCTTGTCCTGTCACTGGGCACCACTGTTCCCACCCAGACTGTTCCCAACCCCCTGGCACCTCCCTTTAAGGATTGATAAGCATTGATAAGATCCCTTGCAATTCCTTAAAGGTCATAACCCTGACAACATCCAACTGTTCTGCCCTGCAACTTCCACCACATCCAACGAAGCCAGTGGGCCAGGGCATGAGGCAATCGCGGGCAGAAGTCATGTCCCAAAAATCAAGGAGATGGGTGTTGTTCTCCAGATATCCCCGAGAGCTTTGCACAGCCCCCCTGGAGAACAGCATCCATCCTCAGAGCATCACAGCCAGGTTTCCAAACGCCGAGCTCCAGGCTTTGCGGGAGCAGCGCATGGACACACCAGGCACCTCTGGGATGGCCGCAGGCTTTTTAAACGACTGCTGTGTTCCTCCGGTGACACGGCGTAAATTTTAATGACCACATTCATAACCACAGAGAAGGGTGTAAAACCAAAACGCTGACACAACTTTAACTACAGCGACACAAATGTGCTGCTATAATATTTTTACAGTTCCTTTTTATACATAATGCATGATCCTTCTGCCCAAGTTTCCTCTACGTTCTTTTCCCATGAAATAATTTACATTAATACATAATTTATTACGGCAACTTGTAAAGCAATTACGGGTTTCAATCAATTTTTCTTCTCCTTTTTGGCAGATAAATTCTGTTTGGACCCTAACCCAAACATTTCTCTTCATGTGGGTGCGCATCCAATTCCCTTTTTTGCCCCGTGTTGTCCAAGTCGAATTTCGGTCTCCCGGTCTCCATGCACAGAGGAAAAGGCAGCCTGCATTTTCCACTGCCCCCTGCTTATGTTTGAAAGATGATTTCTAAATGTGGAACAAATTTAACGGTTGTAATTAGCTGACGGCAGTGCCATAGAGCCTTCCCATCACACAAATAAGATTAAAATACGCTGCGCGGAGCTGTGCTTCAACGAGAAATGAAAACAACCGCCCCAAAACCTACCGCTGGAGAACAAAGACACCGGTGGGCTTGTGGGCTCCTCGTGCCAACAGCCAGCACGGAGGAGGGAAATTCCCCACCTCAACGGCAAACCGTGTCCCGCTCTTCAACGCGATCCTCTGGCGAGGTCTCCCCGCTCCAGCTACGCCTGGTTGGCTTTCCCTGCACAGTTGCTTCTCTTAGCGGATCAACTGTGCTTGAACACGCACCAAGATGCTGTTCTACACTGACAGCTTTCCAAAAAAACACCGAAATCCCAGGAAATTCAGAAACAGGAGGCCTGCGAGCCCTGCATCAAGAGGCAGAGCGGCGGGTGGGTGCTTTCGGGATGCCATCGAGGGGCATCACCCCCCATGCACTGGCCTTCCTCCTGCCTTCTTGGCTGTCCTCCATCACCCATACAGTGTAAAAAGTAATTTCCAGGTAAGAGGTGGGCAATGACAAGACTCAAGGCTGTCACTCCCCCAGCATGCTCGCCTCTGGGACCACTGGCGTTGCCAAATCGCTCCGGTGGAGGACTGTGCCAAAGGATGCAGGAGCTGACCTGTGCGCTTCGTCCATCACCCCACTCTGCAAGGACAAATTCTGGGGGTGCTTTCAAGGGGAAAAGCAAATGATGGTTACTTTTAAAAGAGCGTTTCACAGGAGATCTATGCAGGATCCGTCCCCTACGGGCTCAAAGCCATCCTCCCCTTCCCTTTCACGAGTGGGGCTGTGCACGCAACGCCCGCCACGCTGGGACTCTGGTCCTGCGGCCAAGGCGATGGCACTTGCAAGCACCTTGTCACGGCCTCAATAAAACCCTGCCTGCAGCTTGCCTCAAAGATAATTTCTTGCTTACACAGAAAACAGCTGTCGGCACGCACCCGCTGAGTTTCTCTTGGAAGGCTGGACTAGCGCCGCCCCTGGTGCTACTGATTTAGACGCGGAATGCTGCTTATATACCCGCCAGGGAAAGGTTAGGCGATGCTGCCAATGCCTTATTAAAACACTGTAAAATTTCTTCTGCCATCCACCCCAAACCAGAAAAATTTCAATGGAGGAAGTCAAAAGTAATGCCCCAGCTTTCTAATACACCGCCGCCTTTCTCTAGCGCAGTCACTGGTATTTTCACTGGGTGGATGTGATGGAGACTGGGAAAAAGGAGAAAAAAACCTTATCCAACAAAAACCCCCGTCCAACACCACGACAGTTCTTATCCTCCCAGGTGTTTCAAGGGCCCATCAAGGAGAAGGGAAACAAGAAATTGTTGAATTTATAGTTTTAGATATTTCATCTTGAATCTTCCTCCCAGCGAAGGGCTATATAAAGTTAAAAAACAATCTTTTTAGTAATATCATCATCATCACACTGGCAGGAGTATTTCTTATAAATCTAAAAAGCAAAAGATTATTTAGGTCACCTTGAGAAGCTGATCTAACATTGCATCATCCAACATATCAAGTCTTCGATAATGTTTACTCGTATATTGAGTTATATTACAATCTAGAATCGATGTACATGGGACTACGGCTTTTTGCCTCCCGTTGGCTGCACCATTAGTCCAAACTTCACTGTATTTATCTCAGTGCTCTCCACCGACAGGGACTTGGCCCTCTGACCTGAAATATTCTCCCAGCTTCACATTCCATGCTATTAGAACCATGGGACTTATTTATAACGGCAAGCAAGTTTTGACGCTGGATTGATCTGTGATTATGGCCCACGTTGAGAAGAGCGTTCAGGAAAGATGCCTGAAATGAAACCCAAGCCAACCAATGTCCTTGCATGCTGGAGAGCCTGTCTCCTCTTGACTGGGCATGACAAAGACCGTTACACGGCAAGCTGCGGCCGAGGAGGTGAGATTCAGAAAGAGGATAATTTGGCAGCCGAGGAAGACCAGCGCAGCGCTACGAAGATGCAGAAGTCTTTGGGAAAGCTCTTAATGACCGGCTGCTTTTCAATTAGGCATAGACTCTTCATATCTGCTGAAGAGCCTGCCAGTGCCACAGCGCAAGACAAAACTGTCTGATTGGGTTTCTTTGTTCCTCACTCATGTTTGACGGGCAGGAGAAAGGAAACGGGTTGTCTCTACCCCTTCTTGACTTTGAAGCTTGTGACTTTCCTCTGAAAAAATCCAAATGCTTTCCATCTTCCCCTGCCCCCTGCAATGAGTGGAGTTATCGGAGAGCTTGGGAAATATCTCCCCTCAATGCATGCTCTCGGCTCCCATTAACGCTAATGAGAGTTGCGTCCATGAAGAAAAAGGGGCAGCCTCTTTGTCTGTGAAGTACTGGCTTTCATACCAAGTAGCTTGGCTCAAACTTGATCTACAATTTTAATTGGGTTTTGAGACTTCGCCTAGTGACTGGCTCTCCCCCACAAAACCCAAAGAACACAATATAAAAGCACATCTTCCAGCACCATCAGTTTTTTAAGATCACCGGCCAAGGCACCAATCCCCCATCAATTCTGGTGGTTGTTCAGCATAAAAATTGATAGCAAACTCTTGACATGAAAGGCATAAACCCTCCTACACCATAGTTATTGTCAAAGGCAAAAAAAAAGACATCTTCCTTACTATTTGAGACCTGTCCAAACACTTTGTGCCAAGTGGTAGAACATATTAGTGATAATACTGATATTTATTACTTGCATCATGCAAACAGCCACAAGCCATGGTCATGGGCTGGATACTCAAACACAATCCCAGACCCAAAATGCTTATAATTTCAACTGTATGAGTTACTCTAAAAATAAGCAGACATATCAAAGCACTGAGGAGGGGGAAGGAGATAGGCAATTCACTCAGGAATGGCAACGGGGCAGGACAACCAACCGCCTCTGGGTGGCACGGGCATGATGGCCACCACTAGTGGGTGGTGGGGTGGGCGCTCCTCCATCCCCACTGTGCAGGGCAGGTGGGTGCATGCCCGCCCTGGGGTCTGCAGGGGAGTGTTTTTGGAGAGATCCAGCTGGTCAGGACATCTTTCCGCCCATGGCTATAAGGAAGCGTGAGCAGAGGTGGAGTAAATACAGATAGAAGTTTCTGTTACTTACCCATCACGCCACAAGAGAAGAGGGTAGGTCCTTGACTCATCTTTGGAGTGTGCTGCAAACAACCAGAAAAACTATTCACTTCTCACAGACTCAACCGGGGCAGCAGAAACCACCCTGCCTCCAGCCTTTGGCAAAGCCGCACAGCACCCGGTGGGGAGGAGAACCTTGGGTGCCCACCACGGTCCCGTTTCATCAGGAACTGGGGGACAGGCCCATTCATCCTCCCTGAATAAAATCAAATTTAATTAAACGCTGCATGGAGTCAGTGTCAAGGCCTGAGCCTGCAGACCATGGCTCCTGTCCTAGTCCTTACCCACGGGAATAGCTGCAGCGAGGTCCCCAGCTCCGGAACCCAAAACACGGGAGAAACTAAACTGGGAGCTGCAATTCAGCAGTAAGTCTGGATTGGGCAAGAAAGGAGCAGCACTGGTATCTGAACCCCATCCAAGCCCATTAAGGACTCTTGTCTAGGTACAAAGCAGCTATTTGGGTGGGGTTTTTTTTTTTAAACATACAGTGTGTTTCTAAGGCAAGGTGTCCTCATCCCAGCACTTCTGGGGAGTCTGCGCTTGGATTGTGCTGATTTGCACTAAAAATAGGGAAAAATGCCGCTATACGGGTACAAAAGAATCCTGGATGCTTTTTACACTCTTTTTTTTCCCAAGAATTTTCCTCTTGACAGTGTAAGAGACATCATCAGACTTCTAAAAATGGCCACGGACAGCTTTATATACAATAAATCAATATGTCATCTGCAGCTACATGCCATTTCAGCTATGTTTGCAAAAACACACTTTCATACTAATTGTTCTTTTATTATCCCCCAGAATAGCCATATTCTGCTTCTGAAGTGTCTTTCCTGGCAACACTATCCCCTCTGACCAAGGCTTTACATCATCTGAGGGAAGCACCAGCACGACCTCCCCGTTCACCTGTGCCATCACAGCCACGTTTTAGCTGGCATTAGGCCACCACGTTCATGTCTTCTCTCCTGATCCACGTTTTACACTTTGCCTGTTCACGTAATAATAATAATGATGTACCAAATGCTGGCACCTCCCTGTGCGGAGCAATCCAGCAAAAGGATCCCACTTCACGTACAGAATGTCATAAATATCGAATATAGAGGGATGTGGAGGCAGAAAACAACGATGGGGTGCAGATGGGAAGAAGGTAAATAAGGGCTGGTCATCTTTGGAGCACGTGCCACATTTCTAGGTGACGTCAGGCTATTTCTATTTGTCACCTTACGAAGCAGCAGGTAGAATTACTGTCCCCACCTTACAAAGTGGCAGGTAGAATTAATGTCCCCGCCTTATGAAGCGGGAGGTAGAATTAATCAGGAGACAGTGAGGACAGGCAGCTGTCTCCAAGGAGTGGCCAAAGCTGAGCAGCGATGAAAGTGGGACAAGCTCCGGAGAAGGCAGCGGTTGTGCCAACGGCCATCTGCGTGCCAGCCCCAGAGACCAGCTACTGCCTGCAAACGCGGGAGGGAGAGGAACATCTCGAGATGACATATGTCTCATATTGAGTATAATTAACATTTTGTAAGAGTTTCATCTAACCCCAAATTGGGAACTGAACCAAACGAGCCCATCGGGCGTTGGTAGGCGATACTGTCCTGCTGCTTGGACATTTATTTCCTTTAGGTTTTGCTTTTTGGCTTTTCCCATGAAGACAACAGAAGAATTCTTGCTTTCTTTGGTGGATCAGCCTTCCCGTGAACATCTGCCCCAACTGAACAGCCCAGACAACCCGGCAATTCAGCTTGTGCAACCAGGACTACCATCCCGCGACTGACCCAGCCCCAGAGCTGCGGGAGACCCTTGGCAAACACGCGAGGGCAAAGTTTCGCATTACAGCTCCGCACCTCCGCTACCTGCCATCGGACAACCCAACCGCCCATCCCTTCCAGCAGCAGAAGAAACTACTTCTCATCCACCTCTCTGCAGCAAATTCCCCTCCACCTGCCCCGCACACCTCCGGGGGCACAGCTGGCGTCGGATGCTCAGGCTCAGGCCATCCCCAGCAGCAGCCGCCTTCTCGGCAGGAGCCAACATTAAAGCAAGGATGTTTTTTCCAATATATCGATATCCTTCCTTCCCAAATATCACCCTTTTAAGGCAGGATTTAACGCTGCCTCTGACTTGCTCGCCTTCTCCTCCACCGCGCGCTGCCAGGGCAGCCCGCCTTTGCCCCGGCACGCTGTGCTATCTGCCCGGGGAAGCCCGGCCGGACAGTTCATCATCCTCAGCAAACTTAGGTATTTATATTTCTGTTATGCTCAAAATGCCCATTTATGGCTAACCCTGCCAGATGCTTCCTGCCGCGTTCCCGCACGCCTTTATCTGAGGCTCTCAGTGCACCCTGCGAGGAACAGCCTTTCGGTCTCATTTCTTCTCGGACTATGACCATCTCTCCTGGAGGACAGAGGAGCAAATATCCACAACCAGCCTTGCGCTGGGCTTTGACAGCTCGCCGGCATCCCGCATGTCCTCCTCCTCCCGCCCCGCTCCCCACCCTCGCTTGCTCCGACACTGCCTCCAAACAACGCGTTGCCCCTCATTTCCCACGACCGTGGGTACGCTCAGCCCCACGGCCTCGCTCGCCCCTTGCAGCATCATTTAGCCTGTTTGCTGCCCCTGATTTGGGGTGGTTTTTTTTTTTTGTTGCCTGCTCATTCGGCGTGGTTGGATTTACATCTCTCCAGGCTGTTAAGTACCACAGCGCTGCCCTTTGCCATCACCCACTTAATCCTGCTCCCCGCTTGCTCATCCTCCTATTCATGATGAGCATCTGTTCGCTGTTGGCGAAGCAACTTCTCGCCCATGTTATTCGCGGCGTTGATTTTATTTTTTTTCTACTGTTTATTCCATTGCGTGCTTTCCGAAATCCACATATGCAAAAGCCACAGCACTCCAATCATTCACTAATCGCCCGCTCCTTGGATATGAATGCAGCTCGGTAGAAATCAGCGACATACACCATCTTAAGATCTAACCCTGCAGCATGAAAAAACCCATTATTATAAAACTCCGGCAAAGCTCACGGCAGCAAATGAGTTTTAAACGAAGATTTCACAACACTTACCAGCTCAGTCCTGCATGTTACGGAGTCAGCACCTTTGTTTTCCCGAGTTTTGGTTAAGATCATCACCATGGTAATGCAGTCCTGCTTCGGAGTCCATCAGGGTCCAGGCCAAGGGCGCCGGCAGCCGGGGTCTGGCAAAGCTCCTTTTTCAGTGCATGTTCCCCCGGGAAAGGATCAGCCCCACCGGCTCCTCGGGGGATGCGCAGGAACAGCCTCCGAGCACGGAAAACTCCCTGCAGAGAGAGAGAGAGGAAGAGCTTTAAGGGACTCGTCTGGAGGGACCGTGGGATGGAGGGTGGGTGGGCTGGGCAAGGGGCAAGCGCTGCCCGAAAAACACCCCGCCGGCGGTTATTCCAGGGGAGTATTTATTTCAGACTCTTAAATATTGTTGGTGTTCCTCTGCACCCCGTCAGCGCAGAGGTGTTTCACGGGACGGGCACTCGCACGAGCTGTTGGAAGCACGTAAGGTACACAAGGCGAGCCGAGAGACAGAAGTATTTCAGGCAAATAAATAAATAAAATAAACAAATAAAGCTCCCTCTGAATTCTGCCTTTGAAAAAGGCAGCTCGTATCCCCTGTATCGAAGATCCTGAAGCTTTGAAAGAAGGGCGCGTCAAAGCCCCAGGGTTGGTCTCACAGAAGCCCTTGTCCCCAGACCAACTGGCAGCAGACGTCCAGCAGAAAAAGTGTCTCCAGCATCACTAAGGCTGTGAAATGCCCTGGATGCCCCTATTCCATCCCAACTACTCCCCGATTCCCACGAAGAGCCCTATGGGGGAAAAAACAAGGCAAAGAGCTGCCTGCAAGGAAGGAGAGTACTCCCTGCCCTAAAATCCTAAGGGACACGCTACGCCTCTTGATGCTTACCTATTTCTTGGGTAGTTTTAGGTAGGAAAAGCTAAAGACAGCACAACGAGGAGTGCACAGTAAAACCCAAGCTGCCAACCAGGCTCATACGGCACCCCACAGACCTGACCACCGGTGGTTGCCCAGCTCTGCCTCACCCCCTGGCAACCTCTCCGATATAAACTTATTCCCGTGCAAAAGCAGACAGACTGCAATTCAAATCTGATTATAGGAATCAGTGTTTTCCCCCAAATCGCTCCCCTAATCCTGTTTCGCTATTTTGTTGCCTTGCAGTTAATGCAAACAAACAAAACCCCCATTTGCATGATCCGAAGAGCGTAAAACACTGATCTTGTAACACGCAGTCGAAACCCAATTGCAATATTTAACGACAATATTTGAGAATACGCCGCTAAGCATTAAACCTCATTACAAACTGATACAGCTTCTCTTCCCGGCTCGTAAATCATCTTTTCTGTGTTTACTTGGATTAGAGCTTGCGATGGTGTTATGAGTAGCTCATTTGAAGGCCAGCTGGCTGGTAAAGAAAAATCACCTTCTATTATTTTGTGAGGACAAAGTTCATCCAGAGTGCAAAGCCAGGATTGGGGATCAATATGCTTTCCAAAGATTTACTGTTCCCAAGGGCACCTGGTGGGGTCTCCAGCTTCTTATGGGACATCAGTGGGCTTATATACAATTTATCGGTAGCTTCATCATAAACCTCTGGGCAATCCAACGACCGAACGGGAACCATCAAATAGAAAAGTAAAGCATTTCAGACCACCAAAATGACACAAGATTTGCAAGCCTGGGTCACATATTCACACTATGGCTAGACTGGGTTCGCGCGAGGAGGGCACAACGCGAGGGAGGATGGGGTAGAGGGAGGACCAGTTGACTCACACAGCAACATGCCCCCATCACCATGGGGCTGCAAGCCCCGCAGTGATCCTGGTGGCGGCTCAGACACCTCTGTTACAGCACATGGACCCCCCGAGGTTATGCTCAGGAGCCTCCCCAAGCCCGGTGCTGGGGCCAGCTTGTGGACGGCAAGCTGTTTTCCAGGAACAAGCAGAGAGAATCGCTGTACAGGCGTTAATAAGCTCCATGGGAGTTTTACATTTCTGCATTTTGATGGTCCTTGCATCGAATATATTCGTACGCAGCAAATCCTGGAGGTCCTGTTCAAGCGGGACGGCTGCTTACATCAGGCTCTGAACAAACACGAGGCGAGGGGATGCTCCCCCAGAAGGGCTGCACGTGATGGGGAACAGATGGGAACAAATGCAAGATGCATGGAAGTGAGGGCCAAATAACGGGGCAACAGCAATCCAGGAGAAAATAAGCAACACCGGTGGTACGTTTGCTGCCAAAGCCTCCAGCGTCTCACAGCAAGATCCCCAACACGGGTGCCATACCCCAGCAGCACACACGCGTCACCCATGGCAGCTGCACAGCACCCCATCCTTGCCGGCTCATCTCCTTATCCTCGTGAGCAGCCCAAGGGATGAGAGGTGCTTAGACCCCAGTGCGTGCCTCCGAGCTGGGGGAGCTGAGCCGGGTTTGAAGCCCCCGTAAGGACGAGGGGCAGGAGGCTCTTTGGGATACTCCAGCCTTCCCCCAGCGCTGAAGAAGCCCCTGGAGCAGAGCTGGCAGCGCCCTCCTGCTCCCCCGCGCCACGCCATAGGCGTCTGAAGGACAGGACAGGGACTGAAAACACCCGAGGTTTATATTTTTTATCTGCCACGCTCTCGGTTGTCCCTGATCCCAATGCCGAGATAGGGATGCTCACCACGGGGCCATCGCCGGCGCGGCGGCTGCACGCAGAGCGAAGATCAAACAAGCATTCAGAGCAGCATGAAAGCAGTTAAGTACGGTTCCTCATTACACAGGGTTATGATTTCTTCACGAATAATTACCTTTCCCTAAGGTAATGATTAACGTCGGTGCAGCAGGCTCCTACCCACACCCGGGCGTGCGGCAGCCAGCAGGCAGGACCGGCGGCAAGTACAGGCAGACGCTCCTTGCCCGAGCCGGACCGGCTGCAGCGCACACCGCCTCACGCCTCCCCTCTCCCTGTTCCACCGCATCTCCTGCCATTAACACAAGCCTAACGATAACGCAGCAAACTGGTATTTAACACCACCCAACGTCGGGTCCGAGGCGCACTTTTAGGTCCCTGTGTTTTGGTTTTTTTTGTTTTGTTTTAATTACTGCTTGGTTGGGTTTTGAAATCATCCCCACTGAGAAACTGCAATAAAAAGGAAAAAAAAAAAAACAACTTTCCGGTGAGATGCAATCTTTGGCTCCCCATCCTGCTTCAGCGGGCTCCTGACGCACGGCCTGACCCAGCGCCGTCCTGCCCCGTCACGTCCTCTCACTGCAAACAAGCGCTGCGGGACACAAACGCTTCTGCGGACCTGGGATGTTCTCCCTGTTGACTTTGAGGAGGAAACTACGGTGTATTTATAGACTGGAGGCTTTCACACACACGGGCTAATGAAAAGATACTCTTTGGGGACCATTAATTATTTTAAGAGACGTATTCCCTCATTTGCAATCAGATAAAGGAACTATCTCCATCCCGCCATCAAGGTTAAGGTTAGACTTGGGCCATGTCCACTGGGATGGACACGTTCTCCTGAGTTGCATGGAGCACCAACGAGCAGCATTAGTGCTGCTGGAAACCCCCAGATTTTAGCAAACCGTGCTTTTTCTGTGGGCATTGCTTCAAAATCCACAGAGCAAAAGCCTGTGTGATCTTTGCAGTTGCAGAGGTGGAAAGAGGCTTCCCTTGGAGCTGCTTTCTGCGCAGCATCGCAGCAACTGCGTGTTTGGCTTAGAAAACAATTACACTGCAAAAAAAGAGTAGGTCAGATGATCCAACTTTCACCCACAGGCTTGAAAGGCAACGCTTGGCAACAGATGAGCTCCTTAGAAGGTCCCAGCAAGGAGTACAGCCCGAGAGCTGCTCACCGTGGGCAAACAGCCCTTCCCTGCAGGGAGGTCCCACTCCCCACCACCACCGGCGCTACCGCAGCAGACTCCATCCATGCACCACGCAACTGCCGAGCCACAGCTCACCTGCTACACTGAAATGTACGGAAAAGACCTCGGGATTTAGCAAACTGTCTGTTGGATGCTCTGCTGTGGCTGAAGGGAGCCTGAGCAGTAACCGATACCGTGTGCCCATATATCCGACCCCAGCAGTACTCTTGGCGAGGACGACTGAGGACCAGCATCACGCAATTTCCACTCACGGTGGGACCACCGCCCTCAGTACAGAAAACATTCAACCCCCATCCAGCTCAGACAATCCATCTCCAGACACACACACTGACATAAAACCTATTGACGGGTAGAAAGGGCACACGGGAACGAGGAGCCAGAGCCGCATTTTGCGCGCTGATATACCTTGCATGCAGCACAGCGGGATCGCTCTCGGAATACAAATCACCGGCCCCTGCTGAATTTTTGAACTCTGCTGCCCAAAGCCTTCTGTGAAAAAACGAGGAGACATGCAGGACCCTGCCTCCCACCCTGTGCCCCAGCGCTGCTCCCTCCTGGAGAAGTACTCCAGCGCCCTTTTCACTGCCCAGAAAGTTCACCGAAATCCCCGCAAGAGGAAAAGGGAATCATTCCTGACCTTTCCTTTCGGAATGAAACCAAGAGCTGCCCACCCCTCTCCGGGCGGAGGATTTCCAGCCGCTTCCAAATCCCTCCCAAGCTCTGAAAGCAGGGGAAGGACCAACACCCACGCCCAGGCTCCATCCTCGGTGTCGCTGCAGACGCGGCTCCATCGCCACCAGCACCATCATTCCAAAACACCGTGGCACAACCCAGAGCACGCTCTGGCTCAGCGAAAAATATTCCCACCACCACCGCACCGTGAACTCTGGCCATGCAGCTCCAGAGAGCCAACGCCGATGCTACGAGAAGGCACAAGGTGCTTTGGGAGACAAGGCTGGAGCAAGCCAAGACTCCCGGCTCAGCGCATCTTCTGGCAGCCGCTGCCTCCAAGGTTTATCCCAGGAGGGTTCAGTATCGCCGGTTCAGAAGTTACAAACACCACCAAAGGAGCAACAAACACGAGGAAAAAACAGAGGCAGCAGTTTGATTTAAATGGCTCTCCCAGAAAAATAAAAAGAGCAATAAATGCAGCTTGGGGGTGGAACACACCAACCTGGCCTCCTCCGAGCAGAAAACAACGGGCTGAGCG